GGTGTGCCCCCACTGTGGGGCTTTGAGGGTGTAAGGGGCTGGGAGCTGTCACCCTTCACACCCGGCTCACTCTCTGTGGGTAGAGAATGTGGTGGCCTCCAGGCTGGGACAGAGGCCAGCGACAGGTCTGAGAGCAAGCTGAGCTCTCTGGAGTTCCATGACTGTACTTCTGAAATAAAAGCGTTTTCTGTGTGATGCACAGAGCTGGCTGGGGTGGGTTGGTCAATGGCCTGGTTAACCTGTGCCAGCAAGTGAGTGTCAAACAGGTCAGCGTTCTGTGTTACTGGAGTAACACCGAGCCGAGGACAGAGCTTTGATGGTGGTGGTGGTTCTTTGTTCGGTGTTTGCTGCTGTCTCTTACCTGATCTCTAACACTCTCCCTTTCCTGTTGCAGAGAGGTGGATTCGGCCGTGGCCGTGGGCAGCCCCCGCAGTAGAACCCCCTGCTCATGTTTTGTGTATAATAAAAGAGGTGAAAATGCCACTGGGTCCATCCCTGTGTCTCAGTGAACTGCATAAACATCTCTGGAGCAGAGGGTGACTCAGATGTGTGGCACGTGGAACAGCAGTGGGGGAATGAGTTATGCTTAAAGGAAAGGAACCTGTTGGGTTTGGTGGTCCCTGCCGGATGTGTGGAGGTGATTCCTGGAGGAAGGTGGAGCCCTTTTCCCTCTGCCCGGGATGATGGGGATTCCCAGCGATGGCGGGGGGGACACGGACGGGAGGGACACAGCCCGGGGGCGGGGCGGGGCCGCCGCTGCCGCCAGGTGTCGCTGGGGAGCCAGTGCCGGTGATCGGTGACGGGACGGACGGACAGACAGACAGACAGTGCCCGGGGTGTCGCCGGGGGCAGAGGGACACACGGACGTCCCCCGGTGCCTCAGCGCCCCCTGGCGGCACGGGGCGGGCGCGGCCCCTGCGCCGTTCGCGTAACGGGGCGGCCCCTGCGCCTCCCGCCCTGGTCCCGAGCGGCTCTGGGGCCGCGCTGCGCCCTTTGCGTAGCGGGGCATCCCCGCCGCCGTTACGCCGTTTGCGTAGCGGGCGATTCCCGGAGCGGTTACGCCGTTTGTGTGGCGGGCCGTTCCCACAGCCGTTACGCCGTTTGCGTGGCGGGCGATTCCCGGAGCGGTTACGCCGTTTGCGTGGCGGGCGGTGCCCGGGGCCGCAGCGGCAGCGCCGCCCCCGCCCGGCCGCGCTGCGCCGGTTGCGTAGCGAGCCCCAAGATGGCGGCGCGGTCGTCGTCGGCGGAGGCCGGAGCGCGGGCGGCGGCGAAGGCGCGGCTGGAGGCGAGGGCAGGGGTGAGGCGGGCGAGGGGCGGCAGCGCGTAGCGAGACCCACAGAGCGAGACCCACAGAGAGACTGTCGCGGGTGGGCGGCCCCCCCGCGCCCCCCCGTCCTTCCCCGCCCGGCGGGTCCCGCCCTCCCCCGCCCTCCGGGCCGCGCGTCCTCCGGCCCCGCCGCCCCCGGAGCGGAGGATGATGAAGCTCAAGTCCAACCAGACGCGCACCTACGACGGGGACGGCTACAAGAAGCGGGCGGCCTGCCTGTGCTTCCGCAGCGAGAGCGAGGAGGAGGTGAGGGCCGGGCGCGGGGCGAGGCCGGGACCGGGACCCCCGAGCCGCCCGGGGTTGGGGGGGTGCTCGGTCCCAGCGGGGGGGTGTTTTTAATAGGCGTAATTAAGCGTCACTGGGGAAGTTGGTGCTTTCCCCCTGGACTATTCCTCCCCGTTAGAGCCGGGGGATGCCTCGGGGGCGGTGGGACAGGCGGGGGCAGCGCGGGAGGGGGTTTGGCAGCCGAGGGGACCGACCACGCTGGCACAGCTTCAGTCCAGCACATCACATGAGGTGGGAGAGGAAACCTGACCTTGGATTTATAAAAAGAAACTGGGATAAAAGGGGACTGATGGAGTGCCAGAAGTTGCTGTCCAGAGAGCTTGGGAGGAAGTGGGAATTAAAGGTGGATTGGTTGGTTCCAGAGCGGCCGCGTTGCTAAGGGGCTGCATTGTCCGTGCAGTCACAGAGACTTCACTCTGATGTGCAGTTTTGTACTGTTCTTTATTAATACCTTCTACAGTGGGCTCGGGGTGCTCAGAGCAGTAACGCTGCAGGTCTCCCTTCTGCTGCTGCGGGAGCCAGGCACACACACTCCACTGCGTTTGCTGTGCCCGACTGAGTGGCTGTGCTAAAGTCTTTGTTCTCCTGATTATCATATTTGTAGCTACAGGAAATCTGAAGGGAATGCAGACAGTTCACTGGAGGAAAGGCAATTAGCATACATCCAGTTATTATTTAACGTGAAGGAGGCTGCACAAGCCCTTTGTAGCTGTGCTGGCGTGGTAAGGAGTGTCAGCATTTCAGCAGAAATGGTCTGAAACTACAGCTATGTGTTTGGTGCAGCTTCAATGTAGCTGGTCCTTCCCATGGGCTCTGAGGAGATTTATGGTACTTTGAAGTAACTGTGAAGCAGAACATAATTGTGTTGTGTGACAGTGGTGGGGGTGCTCAGCACAGGTGGGTGAGGGTGTCAGGGTGTCCTTGTGCTGTTTCCCACAATTGCTGAGGCAGTTTGGAGATTCTTCTCAAGAGGTGGAGGCTTGGCCATGTCTGATTGCAATGTGGTTGAGGGCAGAAATGTACTTTAAACAGGTTGTAGGCAGCCTTTGGTTGTGTGTTTTATTTTAGCACACCTCAGTTGGCAGCATCCAGCTGATCCCTCCACCTGCTCCCACCCCTGGGAGCTGCTCTCAGAGCCCCCAGGTGTGTTGAGGACTGGTGTCAGAGCCCTCAAAGTGCTGCCACCCCAAGTGTGGCAGTGTCCCAGTGCTGACCCGAGAGGGTTGAAGGAGGAAAGTGAACTCATTCCAGAGGCAGCTGGTGTGGGACAGGTGCTTTCAGCAGGCCCAGCTGTCAGGGTAAGGCTGCGCAAGGCTGAGCTTTAAAACCATCTCTGTGTTAGTTGTGTCTCTGCCGTGGTCTGCAACGACCTGCGGTGGATTGAAGAATCTCATTTGATTTCAGCTGGTCCAGTTTCAGGCTGGAGTTTCTAGGTGTGACCTGCAGTAGAACAGTCTGCCTCTGGTTTTACAGGCTGGGGGAGCTGGCTCCTGGGCTAGTTGTGCTGGATCCTTCCCAGGGGTCTCTGAGGCTGCGGGTGAAGCTCTGGGCAGGTTTTTGTGCCCAGGGCAGTGGAGGTTCTGGGTGAACGTGGTGTTGTCCCTGGAGCTGTGGGCACTGTGGCTGTGTGGCTTTGTCCCCTCGTCCCCAGTGACATCGGGCGGTGGCTGTGCTGCCCTGGGACACCTCGGGGAGGGAGCACTGGTTGCTGTGTCAGTGCTGCAGCCTGGGCTGGGGCTTTTCCTCGGGATGTGCCCTGTGTGTGCTGTTGGTGAGGAGCCACAGCAGGAATGAGGCAGGGAGGGACAGTTCTGTCCCATTCCGAATGCGCCTCCCGAGGGCTTCGCGCAGCCTTTCAAGGGCCACGTTTGTGTGTGGTGCCTGTGATTGAACTCTGAGCTGAAACTGCAGCCTCTGTTCTCACCTGATACACCCCTGCTGTGGGAGCTGCCCAGCAAGTGGGATTGTCACAAGTACATTTAGGAAGGTTCTTATCCAGACCCGCTGGGATGGACTTGGTGCCCGGATCCTGTGCTTGGCCTTGGCCAAAAGGCCGAGGAGCCATTTGAGTCAAACTTGGATCAGTGATCGAAGTCAGCAAGCAGGACACCTTGATCTTTAGTAATTTTTCTTTCTAATTATTTCTTAGGTTAATTCCTATTTGTTGTCACTTAAATAAACTTTGAGAGAAGGCAACTTGTATGCACTCACTGCTGCCCATGTTTTCTGACACCAAGCAAGGTCTTACCTGTACATGTTTAAGTAGATAGTTTAATGTGGCTGTGAAAGACTTCTTGGTCTGCTTTTGGAGAATAATGCTTTCTTATGCTGACATATTTTATTATTGATTGCTTCTATTTAAATGGAAATTGGGATCTATTTAAAAGGTCTCTCCAGGGAGGGGAGAAAGAGCCAGAGCCAAGGCATGTACATTAAAGGTCTATTAAAAGCTTACTGTTTGAAGAGAGAAGAAAAGAACCATGTTTTGATAAATAAACTTACTGTATTACATAAGATTTTTCCCTAGGACTGGCTGTTTCTGGTTGCTGTTTCTTTTAAGTGCTTAAGAAACAGTAGAACTTTGCTCTTGCCTTTCTTCCTAATTTCCTCCTATGACTTGGAAAAGCCCAGTTTTCCCCTGTTTTGAACCCCTAATTAGTTCTTGAATTAAACAAGTTTGTCAGTGAAGAAGAAGAAATAAGAGAAATTCTGTTTACACTTACAGAGGAGGCTGCTTTCTTCTGTTTAGGTGTTTGCTCACTGACTCTTCACTAATATATTTTTCTTTGAAATCCTGGCAGTCCCTGGAGATTGCTAGAGCAGCATGTCCTTGGTTCGATGAGACATTTGCAAATAAAGAGTCTTAACAGAGAAATGCTTTGTTTCTTTTTTAGTTTTTAAGTGATTTATTTTTTCCTTATGCTGCTGGAGGTCGCACATTGTCTCTGTTTTGCATTTGGAAACTGCTACTTTTGGGCATGAAAGAAACTGGAACGTTTTTGGAAGACCAAGCATTGGCTGAAAAGATGCCTTTGTTACATATTCCTTTAAAAAACAGCACAGGGAGAATTCATTTCAACATGAATCTCAAATGGAGCAAAAAGTGCATTTGTGACTTGGGCTGTGTGGACAGCCCCTGAAATGTGTGTGATTTCCCAAAGCAGGAGCCATCTCCTTGGGCAGGAGGGAGAGCAGGGACAGCAGCAGGATTCATTCAGAGAGCGGGAACAGACTTCAAAGGACCTTTTGGCAACCGAAGGCCAGGGCTCTGTTTCCTTCTTTTCCCATGGAGTGAACTCCCGTGAGGAAGGAGAGTGCGGAGCGAGCTCCCGAGTCCTGTGTTAAGTCTGGAATCAGCGATGTCCCTGCCACTCAGTATTGCTGTCAGGGTGTTATTTTTACATAACACACGTATTTTCTGTGTAGCCCAGCTGTTTCCATGAGGCAGTGTTCCAGAAAGTGTCCCTAATGCCTTCCTGTGCAGCAGCAGCTGGAGCTGTGCTCCGTGTGGGATCTGACAGGGAGAAAAGGCCCCGTTGGGCTGTGAGTCCGGGGCAGCGGCAGGTCTGAGCAGGCCCATATTGTGTCTGTGAAAGGACAAGCTGCTCGTTAACCACGGCTGTTTTTAAAGACTTTTTGGAGGAAATGCCTCGGGAAGAATAGGATCCGGCTCGGTCATCTTTTCTGAGTTGTGAATGAATGGAGCTGAGAGAAGGGAAGTTTCACCCAGGGGCCAGTGCCCTGCCAAGCCCTGCGGTCACCAGAGTGGCCCCACGGCCTCCCTGGGAAAGCCTTTGGAATGCAAACGAACCTTTTTCTTCCGAGCTCTTCCTGGGCCGGTTTTACTCCAGCTGTGATGTAACACAGTGGAGCTGAACCACGGGGTGCTCCTGGGCTATCCTTTGTGCTTTTGCTCCACTATTAACCAAGAATGGCTAAAAACACTTGAAGTGCTTCACTGCTGGGGTGTAGGTGAGCCCAGCATCACAGGATCATCCTACTTCCCATGGAACATAGTCTCAGAATCCCTGTTCCGATGGCTCAGCTTGGCTGTGCTGCCGTCAGCTACATAAAAGGGTTGTGCATGTGGACACAGATGCTGACAGCCAGAGTCCTGTGGGCTCTGTAAAAGGCCCAAGTACCACTTCATGGCTTTTTTTCCCTTTCCTTTTTCAAAAAGGTAGTTACAAGCTAGCATTCCTGCTGGCAGAGGTGTGCCTGGACAAGTTGTGTAAGCACTGAGTGGTCACCAAACTGGTTTTGACAGTCAGAGATAGGCTCTGGGGTTTGGGGTCTCTCTCTGGGAGTGCCCCTTATCAACCCTCAGCCCCTGAGAGCAGTGGCTGCTGTGCAGGTGGTTCAGCTGCTCCGGGCCCGGCCCTGCCAGGGGAGGCAGGGTGTAGATAATTTCTGTGGTTCTCTAAGCCATAATTTCTCTGGAGGGGGAGCACTTGGGATTGTGTTCCTTCCTCCCCGGTAAGAGCAGGCAGTGGCTCTGGAGTCGCAGGAGCACTGTAGTAACAGTAACACGACCCGTGGTGTTCTGCAGCCAGAGCAGCAGCCTGGTTCCTGGTGATTTATTATTGTTATTCTAAGCAGCAGCCTAAAAACCAACAGAATCTTCCTTATTTTTTCCTCTCTGGTTATAGGACTGTAGGTGTGATCCAAATGCTTGAAATGACTTGAACTTCTTCCAGTTCACCTCTTGCTCCCGTTCCAAGACTTGTGCTTTACTTTTGTCAAGTTCTGTAGTGTGAATACCTTCCCCTTCGCGCTTCCTGCCGTGAATTTCCCGCCTCCAGTTCCTGGGTACCACATTGTAGGTTCAATCCCGTTATCCCACAGAACCTGCTCCCGTGTGTGTGTGGAAATAACACAAACTATCCTGTTGAGGAATGGGAGTGCTCCTGTGAGGACAGGCCGTTGTGGTCAGGACAGGGATTTCTGTGGCTGTTGAGGGTGTGTGTTCTGGTCCCAGCCCTGGTCCTGTGGGGTGCAGGGCTGGGGTGGCCCTGCTGACCACAGGCTGTACTTGCTCCCACCATGTGCAAACTCCGGAATGTGCCCGGAATAGCAAGAGGGTGGGAGAAGCCCTCCCGAGAGCCTTGGTGTGTGCCCGGGACTGTCCTGCCTTAGCAGTTTGGCAAAGCACGTGATTTGTTGTAGTGCAGTCGAGGCCATGTTCCTGCTGGGGAAATGAGATTAATTTTGCACGGCTTTGCCAGCGCCCGTGTCCCTCTTCCCCTCCTGCTCCTCCGGAGTGCCAGTTGTCAACCTGTGCTAGTGGTTTGATGTGGTCAAATGGAGATCCCACTCTTGTCAGACAGAAGAGCATTAAGTAGACTAATGATTACATTTGGGGATTGAGAGAATAGTTGTTAATTTTGAGTAAAACATCCAAGCTGTTTCTTATGCTGGATGCGGCACTGGCTCTGGGATCTGCCTGGCCATGGGGCAGTCGGAGCAGTGCTCCCGCAGCTCAGCTCTGAGAACAGACTCGTGCTAAACTGAAACTTTCAGACAAAGGCAGATTGTACAGGCAAACCTCACAGTCAGCCATCTTCTGCTCCCGGCTCCCACAGCCTCTGCGGCAGCGTTTCCTTGCAGTCTGTGCTCTGATCAATGATGCTGAAGTGGGAAATGAGTTTAAATGTCGGGAGGTTTTTTGCTTTAGTTGCTATGCAAATTACGTGATTTATGGCTCAGTGTTGATAGAAAGCATGAAAATATTGATAGAAAACATGACAATATTGAGGGAAAGCCTGAAAATATCGAGGGAAAGCCCGAAAGGCAGTGCAGGGGCTGTGTCAGGAGCCAGCAGCTATGGATGGGCTCCTGGCAGCAGGAGGCTGCTGGGCCAAACCCCCGGATTTAACATCTTGCCTGCTGTTCCCTTGCTGGCTGCCAGCTTGGCGGGCCCAGGCTGGCACGGGTGGGTAGCACTGGCTTTTCTTGGAAGTCTGGAAGGTTCTCAGCTCATTTTCTACTCATGCTGGGGCCCAGCTTCTAGCAGGGCTGTGGCCCTTTTAGTCTGCTGAAATTCTGCTGCAGAGCCTCTTTCGAGGAATCGTGTTCCTTACGGTGTAGACACTCTTGTTTTATTTATAGGTGGTGGTGGTTGTTTAAATCCACCACAGCATGAAAGATCCTGGGAATCCCTCTGCCTCTGTTTTGCAAAAAGCGAGTTGATTCTGGTTGCGCAGGTTTCGCTTCGCAGAGCCCCATTATTCGTGAGTAAAAAACAGAAGACCCTCTGTATGTGGATACAACAGATTTGTGTGTGAGTAGTTAGTTTTAAGGTCAGCATTATGTATTGGGGATGCCCAGATTTATCCAGGGGACAAACTCTTTTCCCCTTTTCCTGTGGATCTTCTCGCTTTGTGTGGCGGTCCAGGCAGCCTTAGATGTCTCGGTGCGTTTCCCATTTCCTCCTGGCAGAGTTGTTCCTGCTCAAGTTTGTTTGCATTTGTTTGTTGTGTGCAGCTTTGAAGGTTCTTGCCATGAGGTTGCAGCCCTGCTCTGGGCTGAGCCCCTGCTGATACTTCAAACTTGGCTTATTTTTCTAACCTTTCCTTGAGTGGGAGTTTGTGTGTGAGAGCCACGGCAGGGCCACCTCCTGCCTGCCAGAGAGGCTGGTGTTGCTCATTTCCCTGCTTTGAAATGACATAATTGTCTTTCAAATCTCAGAAAACAGAACTTGGCCATGTGACGTGATACCTGCAAGTGCTTTTCCCAAAAATCTGCTAGACTTGGCTCCAAAATCCAACTCCAAAATCCCTGCTAGGCCAAGAGTCTCAGTAGCCATCTTAAATACAGTTGCCTGGCTGGTCTAGTGGAGGGTGTCCCTGCCTATGGCAGGGAGTGGAATGAGATGGCCTTTGAGGTCTGCTCCAACTCAAACCAGTCTAGGATTCGGATTATAACAACCTTTTCCTTGATCCCTCTGAGTGCACTGCATGTATGGGGACACAGGGCTGGTGTTGGACGTGTGTTTTTTTCCAACACGGCAGTGTCTCCCCCTTGTTTGGAACTCGGCCCCTTCGTCTTGGGAGAGCTCATTGGTAGCAATATCCTGTTTGAAGTTGTTTTAAAAGAATGACCTTGTAGGGCTTGTTTCCTGCCCTCTCCTGATGTGATTTCCTTTTTATTAAACAGGAAATAGTCTGATTACATAAAAGTGTGAGAATGACAGGTTTTTCCTTCCCAGCGAGGGTTGTTCATATTAATTCTATTCAGAAAATGCTCAACTGCCAGAGCAGCTGAAGTTAATTTACTTTGCCTCAAACAGTTGTTTACACCCAAAAGTTCCTCCTGGTGTGTTGCTGGGGCATTGTCTCAGCCCGAGCAGGTTTCCTGGAGCACTCTGTGCCCAGGGTTCCACAGCAGATCCTTGTTCTCACGACTGGAAGGTGGCAGGAGTTCAGGGGCATGAAGTGTGCTGTGTGAGTTTCAAAGATCTGGTTCTGCAGCTTCTTTTAATCTTTTTTTTCCCTTTGAGCTGGAGCTCTGAATTGCAGTCGGAAGTGGCAGAGCTGGTGCTTCCTTACCTGGCAGCAAACGTGCACTTGAAACGGCTGTTCCTTCTCTTTTAGCTTTGTCCTCAGAATCACCAGCTGACCTGCAGTCAGGAATTTGAGTCCCAGCTGCCTTGTGGACAGCGCTGGTGATGAGTGAGGAAGGAATAACTATCCAGGACTGTACTCCAGGAGGTTCGGTGGCAAACTGGAGGTGGCTGGGGATGGCCTTGCAGTGCTGGCCCAGGACTGGCCACTGTCCCGAGCCTCAAGGGCTCTCAGGATAAATGAAGTTTACATTCCCTATTTAGGCATGGCTTACTGATGGCATTTTACATGGACTGGATGCCTGGGGAAAGGAATTCTGCCTTCCTCTTGGAGAGGGCTGAAAACTCAGGATGTCACTATAAAGTAAATGCTGTTCCCTCACAGCCTTGGCAGGCAGGGACCATCCCACTTGGAATTGTGGAACTGAGGTGGCCTTTGCAGCCTCATTCCTTTCCAGTATGAGTTTCATCCCATGGATTGGGGAATGCTCAGGGATATAGGTGGGGTGGCTGAGTAAATGATGCTGCTTCTTGTGTTGCAGGGTTGAGGGGTGAGTTTGGCTGAAGCAGGAAGGGGGAGGCTTTGAGACTTTGTTATTGGTGGGATCCACAGAAAACTGATGATTACAGGAGTGCTGACACTTGAGAGGACCAAGGTCAGTTCCAGACATGGAAAAGGTTGGCCCAGCAGTTACCAGAGCATTGGTGTGACCCCTCTGCAGTTTCTGCTGTAAGCTCTGCTGCTCCTGGTTTGAGAGCTGGGGTTTACCTGCCACAGCTGACCCTTGTCTTATGACCCTGGTGTCTTCAGGCCTGTTGACCCCCCTCTTTTGTGCTGAGCCAGTGGGGATGGGTGGCCCTGGAAAATGAAAAATCACTCTGCTTGGGTGGTCAGTTGGCAGATGAGAATTTTTAAGATAAAAGAACTGGGAAGCCTTAGAAATCCCGGCTTGTTTTTGTTTCGGAATTTTAATTTTGAATTCTGTAGGTAGATTCCTCTTGATAGTTAGTGCAAATCTTTTCATATCCTACTGGCAAATCAGAGTTTCCCCAGTAAAGCCTGGGATTTCAGTGTCTCGCAGTGTAACTCCGCAATGTCTGACACTGTTACAGCTGGCCTGGAACCTAATTGGACTGGTATGCTGGAAAGTTTCTGGAGCAAGTCGCTTTGGCTCTGAGCTTTGTGCCAGTGAAATGATGAAGTACAGCAGGATGACTCTGATGAACAAGCTTTGTTTAAAGAGCTGGGCAACAGTATTAGTTTTGTTTTTAGTTTCCATCTCTGCTCATGGATGTGTTGCAAGTAGATTTAATAAGCTCAGTGTCTCGCTATTCTTTGGGACAGTCTGTAGCTGGTTGAGAGCGTCAGTGAGCGTTCGTGTTGCTGGAAGGTGGCAAATCAAAACCTGAACTTGTACAGAGCAGAAGTACACTGGAATAAAATGTGGTTCAAGAAGAACTGCCACAAAGCATGAGTATGGCAAATCCCTCCTGGGAAGGGAGTCATGAAGCATGAATATGGCAAATCCTGGGAAGAGAGTTGAACCATTTTTCTCATTCACAAAAGTCTGTCCTTCTGTGCAGCCTAGGGGATTTTAAGTGGTTTTATATAAGTTTTTATTTTGCTTACACCTCACTGAACAACTTCCTCTAAACCAGAAGTACCCGAGTGCTGGCTCCAGAGCCAAACTCCTGGGTGCCTGCTGCAAAAGAAGCAGAAAGCAGGGGGCTGAGAGTCTCTGCTCAGACTATTGCACATAAACACTGCGGTGAGAGTTCCCTGATGTGTACGTGTTGTTGGTGACAGAACTGCAGGGACAGGCAAGGCCAAAGGTACCAGGACAATTAAATCAAGGTACCTCTGCAAAGGGTGGAGGTGCTGAGCAGCGTCTGTGTGCTCCTGCTGTTGCACGAGGCGTATCCTGCGCTGTCAGGACTCGGCAGCGCCTGAGCGTCGCAGTGAACTCACACCATGAGTATGTGGTGCTGTGTCCAATGTTTTGCTGTGCAGAGGTGGGGAAGCAGGGAGAGGCAATGGCTGAAGTCCCGAGGAGTGTGGGAGTGCCTCAGTGCTCATGGAGTTTGCACAAGGAAAAAGTGGAGTATTGGCATAGGCTGGCCTTGGGTCGGTTGTGCTGGGGGGGTGAGAGGTGGCTGGGCTCTGAGAGGCAGCGCTGCCCTGGTGCCCTGTGCTCACCCGTGCTCTGCTCCCCACAGGTGCTGCTGGTGAGCAGCAGTCGCCACCCGGACCGATGGATTGTCCCCGGGGGGGGCATGGAGCCCGAGGAGGAGCCCAGCGTGGCCGCTGTGCGGGAGGTCTGTGAAGAGGTGAGTGATGCCGGGAATGGTGCCCTGGGTTGTGGGGGGTTGCTTTCAGCGCTCTTGCTTGTTTTCCTTGAGGTGAAGAGGGATATGGGGTCACTGGTGGTATCCCCATCACACATGGGAGCAAACTGGAGTCCTAAATAAAGCAAGCGTGAGAATGTAATTAAACCTCTTAGCTGGAATGAACTTGTCCTTGCCTGATACCTTTAACTGAAAATAGGTAAAATTCAGCTCTAGGCACTTCAATGCCTATGAAAATATTCTCTGCTTTGTTTTCTGTGTATGAAGAACAGTTTCTTAAAAGAACTTCAGCTGTGCCTTTGTGGAGCTGTGTAGTACTTCGCTAGGAGGTAGAAAAAAGCCCTTATGAGTCACTAAAGACACTCCAAATACAGGGACCTTGGTCTGTTTTGGTCTAGAACATATTGTGATGTTTATGTGAATAAGTGAAATTGGCTGTAAGTTACCAGCAGCAATTCCTGAAGTGTGTATGGGTTGGTTGGCTTAGTTTTTCTTTTTTCACTTGAACATGTTTCAGGAAGGAGATCAAACAGCAGATCAAACACAGATCGATGGGCTGTAGGAAGAAGGCATATTCTTCTTTTAAAGCTGGAAGAGCAATCTTTTTCTTCATAAGAAATGTAAAGGCAATAAATGGCAGTTGACTGCATTGTATATAAAGCATGTCTTTAGAATTTGCTTCTGAATATCAACAAATTGGAGAGATGCTTGTGTTCAGAATGATTATAGATGGATGACCAAGTAGGTTCATGGTTACATAAGGCAGGATTAAAAATGATTTTGAGAGGGTTATGAATCTTTGTGCTCTCTGCAGAACAGAAATCAAGAGCTAATTGATGGGACTTGGGAGGACCCTTCTCCTGTAGTTGCATTATTGAAATGTCTGGTATATGAGGGTTTCTCTCTCAAGTATTTGGAAGCACCTGCTGCTGTGTAACAAAATGCTGAATATTTGGGCTGTTAGACTCATCGAATGTGGCAACTCCCAAGTGGTGTGTTTCGCTTTGGATGTTTTTATAAACTAGCAATTTATCAGAAAGATACAAAAGATTATACAGTCAAAGTGTATTTTTTTCAGTGTCTTTAGATCCCTCTAGTACTGGGGATTGCTGCTTGCAAATTTTGTTTCCAGCTTGTAACACAGCTCCTGCTCTTCCAGTAACTCGGCAACCTTTCAACCACATAACAAGCCAAAGTGAGTGTAACCAGAACAATAGGAATATTTTTAGCTGCAGACTCCTGCTTTACAGCCCAAGTGTTATTAATAATGGAGTGATTTGATACAGAAGCCCAGGGTTCATTCAGGAGGTGCATGGCTTCACCTCTCGGTCCTTAAAATAAACGTGTCTCACCGCTCCCTCCGCGGGCAGCAGCGCTGGGGAGAGCCGCGCTCTTTCCATGACAGCCGCGGCTGGAAGGGAGCCTTGGCACGGCTGCCAGCGCAGGAACTGGTTTGGGCTGGCTGGGATAATCCCGCTCCTCGGCTGGTGTTCCCTGCTCACGTGGCCCGCTGCCGACTGGGAGTGTAACTGAAGCCGCGGCAGCCTGGCAGGGGTGAGTCATGGCCAGCGAGGCACCCCTACCCGACCGCACCGAACGGCACTCGGAGCGCCCACGGCTCTGCTGGGCACACACGGCCCTGGCTGCTGGGGGAGCTGCTCGTGGAATTGTCCCCAGCCTCAGACTCCAGGAGCTGTTTGCTGTGGGAGGGTGTTGTTGGAACAGGAATGCTGGGAAGGATCGGAGCACCCACCTCCCCAGCTCCTGCTACTGGTTTGGCAGTGCTGGGCAGCTGGTGTGTGTGCCAGCTGGGAACCCCTGCTCTCCCTTCCTTGTGAATCCAGGCATTTTCAGGCTGGTTGGAGCCGAGGCTGATTTCTGAGTAGGTTTGATGTCTTTGCTTCTCTCCTGGACAGACGTGTCTGTCAGGAGGGCACAGGTCCAGTCTGCTGCTCCTGTTGAGAGAGGGAAAATCCAGTTTCCTCCATGTCAATGAGCACAAAGTAATTTTTGTTCTGAAAGAAGGTGGTTTCCATGCTGCTCAAAGCTGGGGAAGAAATGTGTGGAGTTTCTTCCCCTGACTTTGTATGCCTTTTCCAGTTTTTAATAAGAGCCAGTTGGAAGAGCTGTAAAAACTCGTGACCCTGCATGTTGCTTGTGGTCTTTGAAGATGACAGTAGGCTGTCTCTTCTCAATTCATTCTCTTTTGCATGGTGTGCAATTTCTTTTCAAACGACGCTTCCCTAAACGAAGATCTTTAACTTGTCCATTCACTCTTTTAATTGTACCTTGTATGTGTTTGAGGTTATCCATGTTATTACTGGGATAATTGTCATCTAAAGATCTAGGTTTTCCCTCTTCCTGACATTCCAAGTTTTAGAAGACTGTGCTGAAAAAGAAATGTTGATTCTGAGTGAAGGCTGTGATCACTCTGTCCCAGTTTGAGTCCAAGTCCTTGTCCTAGTTTGAGGTAGTCCTTATCTATATTAATCTGTGCCAGCACAAGTATTAAAGTAGACAGGTACCAACACTTGTCATGCTCACTGTGGTCTGCATAAAATTGGAAGTGACTGGAGTTCTTGGGCATTGTTTGTGGCAGAGTGGCAGTAGACAACATGCCAGCTCTGAGTCAGAGCAGCCTTTTAAGAATAAAACCTCTTGTTTCTGACAGATTGTTGGGAAATTCTGAAATCAGTCCTGCAGAGCTGGGAACTCCAGGTGTGTTCTGAAGCTCACCTTCTAGAAAGTGTGTGGCCTTTCCAAACAGGTGTTGGTGCTCATGGAGTGTATTTTTTGCTTAGGAATAAGGGGGTTTTATGGGTGTGAACAACTGGTGGAGAACATGGTGTAGAAATAGATGCTTTAAATTAAACTTATTACAGTGACTTCAAAGAAAGCCTGCACACTCATCTGTGAAACCCATTTCATTTTTCACTTAGAGCATCTTTCACATCCTGACCTTTAAACGCTTAGTAAATGTCAAATTTTATAAAATTGCAGGAGTGGTTGTCATGCTTTCTTCATGGGAGTCAAAAGCCAGATAAGTTGTGCTTGATCCTGAGATCAAACAGGCAATTGATGCCAATATCAAAATGGTCCATTGTGACAGTAATTCGATCTGGTTGCTAAACCTTTTTTTCCCCTCCTAAACATACTTTGTAAATAATCTTTACTGTTTCATGTATTTTGTTAGTGTTTTAGAATACAAATATTGATATTTTTCAGTGCTAAAATGCAAAGACTTTTTAAAAATACTGCAGGGACCAGGGATGAACGATGAGATGATGGCCTTGAACTCCTCCTGGAGTTAGTCATACCCAGTGCAAGTGGTGGCCCAGAGTCACTGTCCCCTATCCTGTGTGCTCAGACTTCACCAAAGTGAGTGCAGTGTCTGAATGTTCTTCTCTCTGTCGTGGTATTTCGTTTGTATTTCACAAGTGTAGCAGCAAATACTGGCGTCATGCAGTACAGAGTTAGATGAATGAGTGTAACCCTCTGTGAGACACAGCAGTGACAGCACAGTTTGCCCAGCAGGTCTGGAATCAGCGTCCTCCGAACGTGTCTAAACTCGCAGTCCTCGTGGGTGGATTTACACCTTCAGTAGTGCAGGTCTTAGAGCAAACATTTGGGTGTTCCACTACAGTACTCTTGCCCAGCAGTAATCTGTAGTAGATGCAGGCTTTGAGCCTAATAGAGCAAAGTAAAATAGCTGAAATTCCAACCCACATTTTCCTTAGCTCAGATGGAAAGAAATAAAAGCTGTCCTGAGGAACAGATGGTGTTGCTGCAGGCTGCTTTTTGCATCTGACCCCAACTTATTTTCAGCTTTGAAACCTGAACCTGCTGTTCTTGGATGTCTTCAGTAATTTTTCTTTATTAAAACAAGTTGTTCCATGAGCAGCAGAACTAGTAAAGCTTCATTTCCTCCGGATTTTTGTTCCTTGTCCTGAGCCCCAGCCCACCCCTCTGGGTGCGGCAGTGGTTTGAAGTGTGTGCTGCTCAGGCAGCTGGCTGGGCTCTGGCTGTGGCTGATGTACTCTTGCCAGAGCTGCCTTTTGCTCCAGCAAGGCCTCCCCGAGCCACTGGACACTGATTTGGATCAGCAGAGCAGGGAAGAAGCTCTGTGTGTCCTCTGTTGTGCCTGAATGTGCCTCTTCCCAGGGAATCCTGTCTTGTGATTGCCTTGTTTTGTTTCCAGACCTGCAGATGGAACAGTTGGTGCTGGTGCTCTCCTAGCCCTGCTAATGGGCTCAGTACCCTCCTCCTGGGATGCTCCTAGGATCCTCCCTGTAATTTGGGGATAACAGCATGGGCTCCGTGTGCAGCACTTGCAGTGCTTGGGGGAAACACGTGCCCAAATCAGTTGTGCTGCCTCTGCCACGCTCATTGTTGTGGCCCAGGAGGGCAGAGGATTCTCAATCCATTTACTGTCGAAGAGAAAATTCCTGAGTTGTCTGTTGCAAATTAAGATTTAGACCCTGCTGCAGTCCTGGATGAGCCTGTGACTGTGCTTTAGCTCTCCAAGAAAATGCTGTTGGCCTATAGGAAAGGAGGACGTGTGGAGCTTGTCCAAAGAGGAGCCTATGAGTTCTGTTGCTTGTTACCAAGCTTGCTTTGTTAGTGATAGCAGCTATTTATTTTCTCAGGTGTCTTGGGCAACTTTTGTGTTAGAAACTTGTGTGAGACTGTGAATTCCACTGGCATGTCTGTTTGTTCCATTGTACAGAGACTCTCCTGTTGCTGTGGGAATATAGTGCTTTATCAAAGCTTTAGGCCTGACAATCCTGTCAGTCTGTGTTCAGTGTCCTGTATGTTGTCTTTAAAATCCTCTGTAGCAGAAAAACAGGCTGAGAGAGGCATTGGTCCCCAGGAGCAGTGGCTGATGTGCTTTGCAGGCTTTGGTACAGACTCGCTCTATAAAATCAGCACAACGTTTGTTTGAATCAAACCATTCATGTGGCCATTTAAGCTACATGTGATAAGGTCTTACATGAAACAAACCCTGGTGCTTTTTCCAGTTGTCTGATGATAATTCAGCATGATTTCCCTACAGTGCATGGTTGCCTTGGCATCGTTTTTTGTGCCTTTTTGGGTGAATGAGACCAGGCAGGACAGATTAGGAGGATCCTGGTTTGCAGACAGCGTTATTTCCATCGTCTCCCTTTACCAGCACAGAAGGAAGGGCTCCTCGCCTCCCTCTACTACTTCAAGCACAGCTCTAGAGCTGGGGATAAACTGCCTGGAAGGCTGGTTGGGCAGGATTTATCCTTAGTTTCCAGGCTTGCTAGTTGCCTGGAGATAAATTTATTTCTAGTCAGGCTTGCGAGTTCACTAAACCATCACAACAACATCCTGGCTTTTGGTTCATTGCCTATAGGTAAATATGTAGAGCAGAACTTCAACAGCCTTCTCTGGGAACCAGTGAAGAAAAGTGGCTTAAGACAGTTGTTTGCCAGAAATATTTGATTACGCTTCACCTTTTAACACATTTGTCTGTGTGGTGTGAAGGTGGAAGCCTCGTGTTCCCCCCTGTGTTTATTGCTGGCTGATGGACATGGCTTAGCTAAAAAATATATCCCAGTGCTGAAAGCATTCCTTGAGGGAAATGTGTTTGAAGCATTTGCCTTCCAGCTGCCTTGGGAGCACAGGTCAGCAGCCCCAGTTTGCAGGGAGGTGGGATGGTGGGATCACTCCCCCACAAAGGTCAGGCCCCGCCATGTGCAGCCAACACTGACCTTCACAGAATGCTGTTTGCTCCAGAAATAGCTGCGTGGGTCGGAGTCCGTGGGGCACCTCTGGGCTGAGCAGGATGTCAGAAATACTGAGGAGACAATAAAGTTTGTGTCCAAAACCAGCTTAAAAGCTTCAGTTGAAAAGCTCCTTCCTAGAAGGAGAGCTCAGTGAGTGCATTACCGAAAGGATTTATGTATCTGTGTGACTGTTTGTAGTGGGGGAGCTGCAAACCCTTGGCTCCTGGGGCAGTTCCACAGCAGGAGTGAGATGTGCTGTGGCTGGATTATTTTGTACCTGTGTACGTTCATTCAGTAGGCTGGAACCTAACCAGGAGTATCTTCCCATTAATGAAAGTTCTTCCTTTCTGAAGGCACGTGACTGTACAGCAGCTGGTCAGTAGGACAGAGAATTTGTCTTGTCATTAACATCACCCAAACATCTTTTTTTAAAAGAAACAAGAAGCCTGACATAATCAGATCCCTGTATCCCATTTGCACTGTTTCTCTGGTCTGCCCAGGGTGTGTTCCAGCTGCTGGAGACACAGCTGACCCTGCTTCCCAGTCGTGGCTGGGTTGTGTGCCAGGCTGTGCAGGTTGGTTCAGACCTGTTGGGTCATGGACCAAAATCTTACCTTTCTGTAGTCAAAAAGGAGGGACTGTGAGGTTGGGCTGGGGTTTGCACGGTGCAGCCCCGGAGAGCTGAGGCGAGAACAGCTGTGAGGGGAGTGAGCAGGTGCCAAGAGGGACACCAAATGTGATGAAGTGGCAGATCCTCAGTAGTATTCAAATAGACAGAACTGTCGCTTAGATCTTCTCTTGATTTGTGTCTCTGCTTGATTCAAGAGTCCTATTTCAGTGTGGTTTGTGTTATATCCCAAATCCTCTTGTTCCTGCTGCTGGGGCCACATCACAGCATTGGTGTGTTTGTATTGGCTGGTTTCAGGTGTGTGCAGGACACCCCTGAAATACCTGGGAGCTGTCATGTTGCTCTGAGTTATTTTCTTAAAGTATAATTTTGAAGAGGTAAAACTGCTAAACCCCGAAGCCAATATTCCCTGTTGCTCAGGCTGTAATAATCTGCAGAGGAGATTCTGGTCACGAGGAGTGTATTGGTATGCAAGGAGTAACTCCTCAAATATTTCTTCTTCCTCTAGATTGAATTCAAAGTTGTTTGAATATAGGAAAACAAGATAAAAAATCCTGGGAATGCATGGATGATTAGAACTCGGGATACATTTCTGTCTCTTATGTTGTGACTGTGTTGGTTTAAGATGAACAGAATTTTAGAGCATTTGCTTCCTGTCCTAAGGAACTGGTCCTGCACAACAAGTAGAAAACATGTACTGAACTGTTGTTAAAGCGTGTCTCTTTTCTCTTTGAACTTCCCCTAGGCTGGAGTGAAAGGGACGTTAGGAAGACTAGTGGGAATTTTTGAGGTAAGTTTCAGACATCAATGCTGTGAAATTTTGTTGCAAAAATTGTCTTGGAGTACCAGTGGCTCGGCAGCGTGTTGTGAAGTGAGCTGGGGCTTGTCTGGAGGGAAACTTCAAAGTTCCCTGTAAATAAAAGCTCACACTGATGTGTTGAGGGACTCTACTCTGATCATTGCAGTGGGCACTTCAGCTGAAATCACTGGTGATAACTGGTGTAACAGTGAATATTCTCACCTTTCTTGCTGTGAAAGGCCACCCCCAGCCAGGGAGCAAAGTCCCTCCTTCTCTAGCACCCAGAGGGGCCGGTGCAGTGTTTGTGCTCCCGTGGGGTGCACAGCCACGCCTGGTGGGTGCTGGGGAGCTGCACAGTCAGCAGGTACCAGACACAGCTCTTCTCTCCCTTGTTCTGCCCCTGACTCTGGAATTTCAGAGTTGTGTAAAAATCTTCCCTGTGTTTTTTTCCCAGCTGAGGAACTGATTTCTAAGCACATCAGTCCTCCAGCCAGTTCCCCACAGATCAGGAACTACACTTTAGGGCTCCAGTGCCTAATAATATTTTCAGACTTCTCATTTAAAACACAACAGCTTTTAGTGGCTACAAACAAGCTGTAGTGGCAGGAGCTGCACCCAGGCTTGTGGGGGGCAGTTTGCAGTCCTGCTGCCCAAAATGCTTTGTTGTTACTCTGTTCCCCTTGCCTTGCAGAACCGGGACAGGAAGCACAGGACATATGTTTACGTACTTATCGTCACCGAAGTGTTGGAGGACTGGGAGGACTCTGTCAATATTGGTAAGCTTTGTGCTCGCTGCCATGAGCTGATGCAGACAAACCATTTCAGCTCAGCATCCATCTGGGACCTGGAATCCCTGTGAGAGGGCTTGGGAAGGGTCACAGTGGTTGCTTGGGAAAAAAATTTGTGGTCAGATTGAAGCTTTTGTCACCTCTGTGGCCCAAGAGAAGCCAAATAACTGTCCAGCTGTCTCTGCAGCAATTTTGCACTGGAAGGTACAAGGCAAAGAGCATGAAGAGCTGTCCTGTCTGAGACTAGAGGAAATATATGTGGGCAGTGTGGGTTAATCATTCCCTGTTATCTTTGAAATCTGTGTATTTAAACTGGATTCCCAAATGGAAATGAACCTGTTGTTCCCAGGAGGGATTGCACTGCAGCACCTGGAATGTGACTCTCCTTAGGCTGAGTATGGAAGGGGTTTATGGGAAGAGCTGTCCTCAGGAAATTGAAGCTCACTTGCAAACTGATAGAAATTGGGTGGTGGTTGGTATGTGTCATGGATTGTCTTAAAATGAGTATCTGACTTGAATAGAAATTGCAGAAATAGCAAAATAAATGGGGGAGTTAATTAGGAAATGCAAGATAGGGGATGTACTGCCCTAAACAAACTCCTGTCCTGGGGATGGGAAGCCATCAGTGTGAGGTTGTAGTGGGAGGCCCTCGAGATCAGAGAATCCCAGGAGGAATTTCCCAGTGCCTTTGTGCTGCCAGTTTGCTCACAGTGAAGTGAGTCCTGCAGCCCTGGTGCTGTGACAGAGAATGACAGCTCAGGAGAGGAATGTTCAGACTAGAAAGGACAATGTTCTGTTGCACTCACTGATGTCTCTCTTTGCCCCCAGGAAGGAAAAGGGAATGGTTTAAGATAGAAGATGCCATAAAAGTTCTGCAATATCATAAACCAGTGCAGGCCTCGTATTTTGAAACCTTGAGGCAAGGCTGTCTGGCCAACAACGGCACCCCAGTCATGACCACGCCGTACTCCGAGAGCTCCGTGTCCGACATCAGATGACTGACGACGTCCCTGCGAGAGCCATTTCCAAACCCAGACTGAGACCTGGATTTCCCTCCCCTCCCCGTTTCCATGCCTCCTCCCTCACACCAGGCATGGGCAGCCGCCTGGGGCAGAGCAAGTGTTCAGAGTGCTGCGATTTAGTGCAAGGTGGGATTTTTTTTCATCGGCTTTTTTTGCTTTTTTGGATCTGTATTTTGTAAAATACATTTTGTGCATGAAGTGCCCCTTTCCCGGTACTCCGCTCCACGGCCTGGAGGCTGCCAGCCCCGCCTCTGCCTTGTGCTCTGAAGTGTCCCAAGTGTCCCCTTCGTGTCACCCCAGCCAGAGCCACTTTTTTTTTTTTTTTTTTTTTAATTAAAAGACTTCAATGTGAGATCAGCTCTTCAAGTCTTAGTCTGTACTGTAAAGTGCTGCTCAGACCCATGTGGGGGTCACTTGCAGCACGTCTGTATAAACTTTTTTTAGATGGAGGATCTAACATTTTAATTTTGCGGGAATTTTTTTAATCCTGGTCTGCTTCTGAAAAGAAGGGTTCATAATTAATCTGTTTGCCTTTTGTTCTGTTTTTTAAAAATACACATTCTGTGACAGTGCTAGTGGCTGGGCCAGTTTACTCCCCATCCAGTATCTCCCGATTTAGTGCAGTGACACTTGAAGTTGAGGGCAGAGTTCGGATCACCTGCAGACATCCCTGTGGCCCCGTGGCTTCTCCGACAGCTTCCGCCAACGTTTCTGCATCTTCATCAGAATGAAACCACAAGGAGTCGATCTTTAACCCTTGGCCAAAACCAAACAGCCTCAGCAGCGCTACGATAGAACCCGGACTGCGTCGTCTGCAGTGGGAGCTGGGGCTGCACAGGGGGTCAGACAGACAGACAGACTGGAGCGTGGCTCCCCAGTGCCGTTCCCGGTCCTGCTGCGTTCTGCTCGTGTCTCTCTTGTCCACATGCCTTACGCCGTGCTGAACTGGAGACTTGGAATTTGTGCTAAAGCATCGGAGCGGACTCGCCGAGTGCTGCTGCGTGAGCCTGCGGTCGGACAGCCAGCGTGTCCTGGAGAGAGGTCCTGGGGGAAACATTCAGGTGTTGAGTCTCTTGTCCTGTGGTTCTGCAGCACTTACAGTCGCGCGTGGAGCGTGCTCGGAGCGTGCCCTCTGTGACAGGTACAGCTGCCTCGGGCAGCATTCCCGGGGGAGCACACCCGGCTCGCAGGAGAGCTCCCCGGTGCGTTGGCACACTTCACACGGGGTTTGTTGTTTTATTGCTGTAAGTTTCATGCTGTCTTGATTTGCCAACAGTGTTGTCTAGTTGGGAAATAAAATGGGAAGGGTTGGGGCTGGGGGGTGGGTTGGGACAGGTACAAGTTTTGGGAGGGGCATTAATTAATCCCTGGCTTGGGACAAGAAGTGGTTGCTGAGTTCAGTAACTTCTCCTTTGTCAGAGCAGAGCCAAGATGTGAAATTAAATCTGCAGTGCTCTTTTTTTTTTCCTTTTTTTTCCCTGCTCTTTATTTAACAAAAAATATTCTAATAAACACTTACTGTTCCGGAGTTTTCTCTCTTCCCGAGAAGCGCTTACAATATGAACATCTGATCAAAATATCCATGGAGCCTGGGACAAGGGGGAATGGTATCCTTGCTGGTTTGGCAAGAAGCTGTTCATTTTAAGATCCTCTTCTGTTCCTTTCCTTGTTCTCCCTGCTTTCATCAGTGTGGAGTAGCAAGGCCAAAAGCAGTGCCAGCGATCGCTGACATGGAAAACCACGCGTAAGGAACAGCCCATTATTCAAGGAGTAGCTCAAACCCGGGCATCTGGAATTGAGCCTAAATTACACCAGTTCAGCTCACTTCAACTTAGAGACGAATGTACAATCCTTTCTCACTCTGTGCTGGTCAGCCTGAACCAAACTCTCAAAGGGCTTGAATATTCTATCTGGAAGTGTACAAGAAATTCTGACAGTCACTGTCCCCGCGCCCTGCGAGGCACCTGACTCAGCCGTCTACTGCCTTCAAGGAGTCTTGGTCTCTTCTGTACAGATTAGTATGTTGGAAATGCTTTGCAACAAAACAGCTGGTACTCCTGAAAGAGTAACTGCAGTTTTAATATCAACAGCATGCACACTTTTGTTTTTAAACTAAAAATGTTTTTACAGGGCTGTTAAACTGACAATTTAGGGTAGAATATTGTTAATGACTTGCTAATGGCTTATTTGTTTGGGTCAGAAAAATAAATTGTGCCAAGAAAGTGTTTTAATGTGGCATGAATTGATGCTGTTACACCACAGAGTGGCTGATGTTATGCCTTGTAACTGGAAGTGGCTTCTGGGGCAGGAATAGTCTTGACTGAAGAGATGCAGATCTCAGAGCAGGCCTTAGCCCCGTGCTCCCTGAACTCTCCCTGCACCGCACCATTCCCGTCTTTCTCAGCATCTGAGGTTCTCTCTAGAGCTGGTCCAGCTGCACCCCCCAGCAGTTGCAGTGGTTTTATCCAAACTGGTGTTAGTTGGTTTGGGACTGACTGTCAGTGCCTGTGTGAGGGACAGAGGACCTGCTGGGAGGGCGGTCCCGTGCTCTGGTTCTGTAGCCTGGGCTGGTGCTGCTTGGTCTCGCTGCTGAGGCCACTGTCCTGACTGTGCTGAACCCCGTGGGATGAGCCTTGGGCTCCCAACCTTGCTAAACCTGGTGCTGTTCTGAGCTGGTAGCATTGGATAGTGGGATTCTTACCTCAGCGTGTCGTGGCTGGCCTGACCCTTCCACGGAGCATCCCCTCGGAGCAGTTCTTAGCTGGCTCCTGGCCCAGCTCTGCTCCCTGGGCACGGGTGTGAGGTGGGGCCCACAGGGGATGCCCACGAGGTGCAGCAGTAGTTGGGCGCCTCTGAGCTGGCAGGTCTGTTCCTGGGTAGGTGGGTGCTGTGAGCTCTTCCCTGCTCTCCGTGGAGCAGGGAGGCAGCTCATTCAGCCTGAGCTGGAATGTGCCTTAAAGCAAACTCTGTAAAGGGAGAAATGAAAAGGGGGTGGAATCTGCAAGTGTTGCTTTTTCCCTTGTGCGGACACAAAGTATTCAGTGGCTAAAAATGTGGGTAGGGAATGTCAGGAATCCTCAGTTCCGTTCCTGGATCCAGCATGGGCTCTGGGCCTCTGCCTCAGCTTTTCCAAGCAGAAACCACGTCCAGCATTCCGCAGTGTGCGGTTGCTCCCGGGGAGCAGAATCCTGGGGGCTGCACAGGCCCAACGTGCACCCCAGTTACAAGAGCTGTAGATTTTCCTGCCTGTTCTCAGAACCGCTGTCTTATCCCCAGTGGATGTGTTTGTGCTTTCACACAGCCTGATGCAGTGGCTGGACCTGTGCACAGCAGCAGGGGTCACTGGGAGTTGGTTTGAGGGTTTGACCCTCCCAAGCAGAGCCTGTGGCCAGGGGGGGATCAGAGGTCTGTCTCTTTAGCCAAACCTGCCCCCAGCAGTGATGGTGTTGCCGTGTGAGGAGCTTTGATCCCACAGAGATGCTCAGCAGCATGGGGTGACTCAGTGCCCTCTCTGGTCCTGCTCCCAGGCTGTTTCCCTCCTGGCTCCATTTTCCTGCTCAGTAACAGCATCATCTGGTGGCTGGGACCTTGCTGGGACCCTGCGGCTGGAGCACCTCTCAGCTTGTCCCTGAGCCCCTGACACAGCCAGGGCGTGAGCCTCACCTTCCTAATGTTGGAGTGAACCAACCCAGCTGCTCTGGGCTGCGGTGGGGGCAGGTCCTGCAGTGCTGTACTGGGGTGAGTGTCAGGACTCTGTACAGAACCACGAGAGGTAGTTGGGGAAAAAGAAACTGAACTGGACTGAAGTTGTATTTAGGAGATTTATAAAATCTCTTTTTGGTGCTAGTCCATAGGGGTTTTTTTCCTTTTTTTTTTTTTTTGGGGGGGGGGAAGGTGGGAATTTTGAGGTTATACTTCAGAAATTGGCTCTAGAATTGCCTCAGAAATGAACATGAGGTCCAAGAGTGTTTGCTGAACTTCCTGTGTGTCCTATTTTATATTTATTATATCTCAAGATCTGGAATGATCACTTTGCATTTGCTGCTCAGTCTTTCCATGAGCTCTGTGTACCTGGGGCTCCCTCCCAGCCCTCGGAGCCGGGTGTGAGCGTGTCTGCCTGAGCCAAGGAACCCCCACGGTCAGTCAGAGCCTCAGGGCTTTGCTGTCTCTGGTTTGTGTTTGAGCTGGTACCTTCACACTCACTCTCCTGACTGAGAGTGGGACTGACAGCGACCCAGGCACTGACAGGTGTGAGCAGCCCGAGGGAACACGGGCTCTAACCCCTCACAGATACTGTTCCGAGTCATCCCAGTGTCCAGGCCTGGGTGGGACTGGTGGCAGCTGCAGAGCCTGGAGAGGGATCCCGGGATGTCCTGCTTTTGTGGCATGGTGGGGTTGATTGGGATGTGTGGTTAGTTGAGATGTGGGGTCACTTGGGATTCGGTGGGGTCGGATGGGATGTCTCATGGAGGTCCTTGTGCCGCTCCTGCCGCTTGGCTTTCACAGGGAAGCATTGGCAAGTTTGCAGGAAGAAAGCTGATGTAGAGAACAAACTTGCTAGTTTATTGGAATTAAAAGAAGCCTGAGATTTTCAAGAGTTTTCAGTGAATGTAAGTGAAATGCTCAATCCTCTGTGAATTTGAGATTGGTTTTGGACTTGTAGTTCCCATAATCTGTTTGGGTTTCTTTTCCTGGCTGCAGGTCTCCATTCTTCACCCCAGCGCTTGGTGTTTCTTATCTCCTGGTGAAGTTCACATGGGAGGGTTATGACAAATTAAGGTGAAATAGTTTGCAGAAACACTTTACAACTGCAGAGGCACTTTGGAAATGGAGTTTTTCAGTGAATACTTTTTCTTACTCATTTTTATGATGCCTTTGCTCAAACACGTTCAGTAGAAAACACGTCCCGTTTCCTTCAGGGCTCAGATCTCAGTTGGAGCCTCTGGGTAACGCAGGTGCTCTCCTGCTTGGTCCTGGCTGGCAGGGGTAGCACACACCTACATGATTCTGATCTTTCATCCATAGTGTCTCCAGGAAGGCCGGAGGGCTCTGCCCGCTCTGCACTCGCTCCGTTGGGGTCCTGTCGGGAGGGGTTTCCTCTGTTGTGTGCAAGGGGGAGGCTGTCAAGTAAAACACTGAAAACATAAAATTCGTGGATGCCAGTTTGCCAAGAGTGTGGGCTGTAATCTAGTGCCAACCAATAAACACACCAGTATTTCACACGGCTCTGCCTCCAGCCTGGTCTCTCTGTCCCGGCGCTGTTCCTCACATGCGTGAGCTTGGAGGTGGGCAGTAGTGTCACCTGAGGAGAAAGCCCTCCCTGCAGGGGCTTGGGACAGTCACAGCTTGGAAGAGGAACTGGAGGGGTGTCACCAACAGCCTCGTGTTGAGATGGGCTCGCTCACAGGGATGGCCCTGCAATAAAACAGGGCGTTTTAAGAAGAGAGCCTCATGGAGCAGAAGTGGTCCTGGCTCCAAATCTGCTCCCACCTCTTTCTCAAAGTCCTTCCTGAGAGCCTCTCACGTCAGAATAGCACCTGGCAGTGGGAGAGGCCTGGTGGAACCTGCACTGAGAGCACCGGCACCCACCCGGTGCCAGTGGCACTGCTGGCCCAGCCAGGGCGGACACGGCACAAAGGTGAGCTCCCACACGTCCCTGCAGAGTAAATGTGTCCTGGTCTGGAGACCCAGCTCTTCCCCACCCTTTGCAAACTCCCTTTGGGATCTGGATGTGACCTGGCTCCCCCTGCACTGTGAGGTTGCAGCGAGGGAGAACACAGCGAGCGGTGCACGTTCAGCTGCGGCGCCCAGGGCAGAATTAATCTGTGCTGACGGCAACGTCAATGCCTGAGCGGGGAGCGGGGCTGTGCGCCCCGGGGACGGCGGCACCCGCTCCCCACCCTGGCATTTCTGGCTGGATGAGCAGCCGGAGGGATCCACCGGCTGGAAATCCGGCCACTCGCTCAGCTGCTTAAACGGGAGCTTAGTGGCTCAGCAGAGCTGTCCCCAGTTACGTGCTGGGGGCCAAGCCGTGGAGGGGTGGGGGCTGCTGTCTCAAGCGGGCCTGGGGGCAGAAATACCCTGTGTTGCTATTTCAGGTCCCATCGCCTGCTAAAAATTTGCCACCGCCATCTGGCCTCCCTTCCACCAAGGTCAAGGAGCCTTGTCCCCAGGAGCAGGGACCATGCTGCCCTCAGCCTCCCTGACATCCTCCCCTGCTCTAGGGTGAGCAAGAGGGAGATTTCACCAAGGATGTGCAGCCTCTGCACCGCCCCAGCCCCGACTCCTCTTTTCCCCAGCGGGATGCTCTGGGCAGCAGTGGATGGGATAAAATTATTCCTGTGGGGTTTGTGGGTGTCCAGGGCTGGCTCTGGCCTTGTGGAGCAGCTCGGTGACCCCCTGGCCCACTCCCAAGCATGCTGCTTCCCCTGGGCCTTGCCTGCTCCTCTGGGCCGCCTGCTCCTGCTCCTGCTCTCCAAGGAACCTTCCTAGAAATCGCCGGGTTTATTTTTAGCTGTGGCACAGCAGTGCCAGGCTGGGAGGGGACAGGCAGTGGCAGATGGTGGCTACATGAAAGGCCCATGGGGTGTCAGTGCCCCCCACAGCAGGACTTGGGGGCTGGGGGACCTGGGGGTCCTGTCCTGCTGTGTGGTTCCCTCACTGTGGTGGTGAGTGGGGGCCTGGGGGCGCTTGGGCTGTTCTGGGAAGGGTCTCTTGGGCAGGGAGGGTCAACATGGACAATGGGACCAGTGCAACTGCTGGGAAGAGAGAGTGGGGGCTGGTGGGGCCAGTGGAACCCCTGGGGCCAGTGGGACACGGGGAAGAGCAGCTCGGCCCCTCTTGCAACAGCTGATGTTCTTTTGCAGGCTGGGGATGGGACAATAACCCAGCGTGGGCTGGGGAGGGGGTGAAGGCACCAGTGCAGGCAGAGTACAGGCAGAGGTACAGGCAGGGTACAGGCAGGGTACAGCAGTAGTACAGGCAGTGGAACAGGCAGTAGTACAGGCAGGGAATGCAGGCAGTGGAACAGGCAGGATCCCGGCTATGTGGCTTGTTGGCCTCTCTCTGGCCTTTTCCATGGGCAAGTTCATCCCAGAGGCTGCAGTCCAGGAGCTCAGAATGCTCTGGATGCTCCACGGTGGCACTGAGCCCTTTACCGCTGCCAGGCTGGGCTCCAGGAGTCGTGTCCCCCTGGCTGTGCCATGTCCAGGTCCCTCTTTCCCCGCCTTTCACTCCATGATTATGTTTTGCAGCTGATGGCAAGTGCAGGGGGCCTGGTGCTCCCCAGTGTCCCCGCTCCTGCCTGACCCACTTAGCGGGGCCATCTGGTCCCCGCAGGCAAAGCGGATTAACCGGGCCAGGATCAGGGCTGGGCGCTGCCACCGCCGGGGTGACAGCCCTGCCGGGGCCAGCCTGGGGGATCGGCCACAGCAGGAGCCCCTGCCAGGGACCCACATTGGCCCCTGACATGGAGGACCCTACCCGTGACCCTGCACTCTCCGGGACCCCCAGGATCCCCATCTGCCCTGGCCATAGGGCCTGTTGGCTCACTCCGTACCTACATCTGCATCCCTCTGTCCGTCCATCCATCCATCCATCCATCCATCCATCCATCCATCCATCCACCTCTGTCCGTCTGTCCATCCATCCTCCTGTCTCTTGTACCTACCCATGCCCCCAGCTGTGCACTCACTAAATCTGTCCATCCCTCCACCCAGCCCTCCGCTCGCCCCTCCCTGTGCTGCCCCCCGGGGCCATTTCTTCCCTTTTTCCTTTCCCCCCTTTTCCCTCCCTTTCTTCCCTCCTTTTCCCTGGATTTCCTTCCCCCTTTTCCCGCCCCCCCCGCCCGGTCTCTGGCGCCCCCTGCCGGCCGCGCCTCAGACCCCGCCCCTGACCCCGCCCCGCGCGTGTCCGGCCCCGCCTCCGTCACGCGCAGCGCGGGTTCCGGGTGCGGCGGCGCGCGCAGGTGGGCGGGGCCGGGAGCGCGCGGAGCTGGGGAGGGGGTGCGGGGGTCGGGGATGGACCGGGAATGGACCGGGATTGGGGTGCGGGGACCGGGGAATGAGCCGGGAATGGACCTGGGATTGGGAGTGCGGGAATCGGGGAATGAGACCGGGATTGGGAGTGCGGGGACCGGGGTGTCCTAGGAATGGACCGGGATTGGGGTGCGGGAATCGGGGAATGGGCCGGGATTGGGGTGCGGGGACCGGGGGTGTCCCGGGAATGGACCGGGATTGGGGTGCGGGAATCGGGGAATGGGCCGGGATTGGGGTGCGGGGGTCGGGGGTGTCCCGGGAATGGGCCGGGATTGGGGTGCGGGAATCGGGGAATGAGCCGGGAATGGACCGGGATTGGGGTGCGGGGACCGGGAAATGAGCCGGGATTGGGGTGCGGGGATCGGGGAATGAGCCGAGATTGGGGTGCGGGGGTCGGGGGTGTCCTAGGGAATTTGGGCATCGGGTTGAGGCCCGTGCAGGGGTCCCGCCAGTCCCGCTGGTGGAGGCGGAGCCCCCCCCGACCCCAGCTCTGTACAGGGGCTGTTGCCGGGGAGGGGCTCATTACTGAACGGGGCTCATTACCGGGGCAGGTGGTTATTACCGGGCGGGCGCTGGGTTATTACCTGTGCGTGGGTCATTCCCGGGCGGTGGGTCACTCCCTTCGGTGGGTCACTCCCTGCCGTGGGTCACTCCGGGGCAGGTGTGGGTTGCAGGGGTCCCGCCCTGGGCCCGGGCACCGCGTCCCCAATGCGGGCAGGAGCCGGCACTGGGCCATGAGCAACGCGACGGCCCCCACGGCCCCGGGCACGGCGGGCGATTCGCTGGTGGGCTCCGTGCTGGGCCCCTTCCTCTTCCTCACCCTCCTGGGCGCCGTCCTGGCCGCGGTGAGTGGGCGGGGGACGGTCTGGGGGGCACCGTGGCCCCCGAGCCCGCGCCGCTGATGCCTTTCCCCGCAGGTGATGTACGTGCAGAAGAAGCGCAGGTGAGGGGGGTCGCGGGGCTGGGGGCCGGGGGCTGCGGGGTCACCGCTCACCGCCGGCCCCCCCAGGTCCGAGCGGCTGCGGCACCGGCTGCTGCCCATGTACAGCTACGACCCGGCCGAGGAGCCGCCCGAGTCCGAGCAGGAGCTCCTGGTGGAGGCCGAGGAGCCTCAGGTGGGTGCCAGTGGGTACTTGGATATCCAAGTTTTCCATGAGAAATGTAAGCAGCAGCGAGGTGCCCGTCCCGAGGGAGCTCTACGTGCATTAAGGTTAGAAAAAGACTTCTCAGATCGAGTCTAATCTCCGGGGAGACAGGCTTTGGGTACATTCCAGAGGGTTTTGGGAGGGTTGGGCTGCACAGCTGGTGCCTGCAAGCCCAGGGCTCCCCCACGCATGCCCTGCTCGGCCTGGGGGAGCCTGGGCTGGGCCCCTCGTTCCCCCCAGTGCCCGGTGTGCAGCTGTGACCCTCTCTCTTGCAGGTGGTGCCTGGATGGGGGGGACCCTCACCCCCTCGGCCCCCACACAGGGACTGGAGGGCCTGACCCTGCCCGAAGCAACAGGACCAGGTCCTGCCCATGGCAGGGAAGGGAGGACGGTGCTGGCACCATGGGATGGGCAGGACGTGCCCACAGTGGTCCCACACCCGAGCACTGACTGGGGAACATCTCCCACCTCAGCAGCTGGTTTTTTTTTTTTTTTTGCTTGAACTGCTTCACCAGCCCTTGGAAGGCTCAAGGTGGGGCAGCAGGGCCTGGGGAGAGCAGCAGGCTCCGGGCACTGGGGGATGCCTGGGGGCAGATGGAGCAAATAAACGTGTCTCTGCCTTCGGCCATGGGGCTCCACATGGGGCTGGGGGTTCAGCAGCACTGCCCCAGCCTCGGGGGGGAGTTTTGGGGGCAGGGGGGCTTTGCATGTTTGTGTTTCCATCGGCAGCTCCTGCCCGTGCCCAGGGATGGCCGATGGCTGCCGCCAGCACGGATGTGCCCCTGGAGAAGGTGCCATGCGGAGCAGCCACACGTGGAACCCACCTGCCCCCCCAGCCAGGGCCCGGGGCAGAGCGTCCAACGTCCATAAAATGTTTTATTCAAGTAACTGCAAATAGGAACCCAAAAGGTCGTTAACAGTGAACCAAAAAAAACCCAAACCAAACCCCGATTCTCTCCCGCCGGGGCCGCCCGGCACCGACCTCCGGTCCCGCTGCAGCCGTCATGCCTGGGCAGCGTGGGGGGGGGAGCACCCCACGGTCCCCCCACCCCACTGCCCTGCCAGCCTCAATCCCCTGGAGCAACAGAGCAAACCTAGACCTCAAAATAACAACTTTAAAAAAGAAAAACAAAGCCCAAAAAAAAAAAAGGGGAGGGAAAAAAAAAATGCCCCACGGCCCCCAGCAACACCCCGAAACAGGAACCACCAAGCCCACGGTGCCCCAGCAGCGCAGTAGCACGTCTGTGAGTTCAGAGAGTGGAACTTAAATATCCAGAGGTAGTTGTGAATGAAAGGAAAAAAAGTACTAAAAAAAAATATATATCTATACCAGAACCTATGAGGAAAGGGCTGCCCCAAGCTGGCCCTGCAAAGTCCCCCCCCAGGACAGGCTCCGGGCCTCAGCAGCGCTGCGGGAGCTGCTCCCACACACAGTGCAGTCGCCCCAGACTGGGAGGGTGCAGGGGGTGCCCAGGGAAGCCACAGGCCAGAGCAAAGGTCTAATGCATTTGGGGGTCTCACCTTTGCTGCCCCCACTCTCTTTTCTGCAGAGGCCCCAGGGCAAAGCTTGATGCTGGGGGGGAGGAGGGGGCAACCAGCATCCACTTTGGCTGGGTGAGATCACTGCGGGGGGGGCAGCGAAGGTGAGGGGTCCCAGCCCCGGCTCTCTGCCAGGCCCCCCCTTACCAGTGGGGCTGCCCCGAACCCCAGTGCTGGGGAGGGGGAGCCGGGGCAGGTGCCCCCCCGGGCGGGGGCTGCAGGGGCCGCCCGGGTCGGGCCATTTTCCAGTGCTGCCGTTGTCTGAGGGTGAGGAGGGAGCGGAGGAGGAGGAAGCCAGGGCGGCGCAGTGGGTCTCTCCCGGTCCCTCTCACCCGGCCGCCGCGGGGCCGGCGGGCGATGAGGTAGCGCCGGCTCAGGAGGTGTCACTGCTCCTCCTCGGATGACTCCTGGGAAATGTTCACCTCCTCCTGGACCTGCTGCTGCGAGGCAAGGGAGTGTGTTTGTGAGGGTGCCGGGGGCACAGCCCCACTCCATTTTCCCTGGACGAAGGGCTGCCCAGGCACATCACACCCCTCGTGCTATGAGGGAAACTGAGGCACCAGCACCCTCCCGGGTTTAAAGACTTGCCCTGACTCCAGGTTCATCCGTTGCAGATTAAATCCCAGGTGGGAAGCCCCCTGGGTAGACCCACAGCAAGGAGGGGGGACTGTACACCCTGGGTGCCTGACACCTGCAGAGGTGGGACTATGGTCCCTGGGCCACAGCCAGGTCCCCAATGGCCCCCTGGTGGGTGGGGGCAGGACCGGGTGTCCCTGTCCAGCCCTGCATGCTGGGGTGGGCGGCCATGACCCTGCACAGGGCGGTGACTCAGGGTTGAGTGAGCCTGAGTCACATCAGCCCCCACTTCCTCCCACTTCATCCACAGAAACGCCACTGCGGCTGCCAGAGGGGGACTCCGTGTCCCCTGCACGGCCCCACTGGCACAGGATGGGCTTGTCCCACCCCCCAGCACTGCCTGCCCACCCTGGGGTCCCCAAACAGCCCCTGGCATTGACGCTAGCACAGGAGATCCCAGGATGTGACCCCGGGTTTGCAGCCATGGCTGCTCCCAACCCCTCACACTCCACAAGGAATTTCAGTGGGAAAAGGAGCAAAATCTGGGACATGAAGGGAAAGGAGATAAAGCTCGAGTGATGCTTGTGGGTGCCCTGCATTCACCTCAGCTGCAAGCCGAGGGGGAAAGGAGAAAAAATGGAAAGGAGGAGGGAGGGCTCAGGGAACGGGGAGGCTGCACCCACAGGAACTGCGCCAGCAACAGGGCAAGGGCCAGCCCAGGGACAGGACCGGTCACCTCTACACTGCTCCTGGGGCTGGGACCACTCAAACTCCCAGCCCCAGGGAACAGCCGGGTTCACAGCCCACCCTGTGCCACGCTGTGTCCCCTGCTTGGTCACAGCTCTGTGCTCCTCCAGCCCGGCAGCATCCACTCATCCTCGTGGGGCCAGCCAGGGGATCTGTGCCCCCAAAGTGCACAGCACCCCACCAAGTCAGAGGGGGAAGGGAAAAAAAGCCTGCTCACCGATTTTTTGGGTCGCCCTCGAGGTTTCCTCCCTGGTGTGACTGCAGTTTTCTGAGCAACAACAACAACAAAAAAATGGGCATTTTGGTCAGGCTGTCCCTGAGATGCTGTTTGGGGGGGTGGGAGTGGCGGGTGTCCAGCCTTCCCCTTCCTCCCACCATGACTGCCAGACTCATCACCCCAGTGGCATCTCCTGGGGCGCTGCTGCCAGCTCCCCCCAGCCCCAGGCTGCCCCGTGACTCACGAGGTGGGTGCAGGATGTGAGTCGCTGTTTTGCAAACAGGTTTGTCTTGGGTGTCCTCGTGCTGACACACACGGCCCCCCCAGCTCCCTCCATCCTGCCTGGGGGCCAGTGCCCAGATCCCACCTCTCAGGGGCAGATTTGCCCAGAATTGTCCATAATTGAACTCAAATTGGATCTGTGGTCCCAGGGCTCAGCTGGAGCAGCCCCATCCCCAGGCACTTACCCTGCCCTTTGGGGTGGCCTTGTTTTTACTGCCCTTTGGCCGTCCACGGGGTCTCTTGGGGGTTGAGGCATCGCTGGGCTCCTGCTGGAGGAAGAACAGAGGGGGGCTGCATGCCCAGAGTGGCTCCCAGTGCACCCCAGGATGCTCCTGCCTGGGAGTCCTATTCTTCCCAGCAGACCCTGAGAGGGCAGAGATGCTCTTGCATGTGGTACTGGGAGCACTGGGACTGGAGATCAGGCACAGGCTCCTGTGTCCTTCAGCTGGCTGTACGTGACCTGTCCCCTCCAGCATCAGCTGCTCAGCTCAGCCAGACAGTCCCCACAGCTCCTCAGCCCAGACCCTGCTCACTGCCAGTGCCACAGCCCAGGAAGCATCAGGGAACCCAAAAATCGCCTTTTCTGCAGGAAAACAATGTGCACAAACTCCACCTGCCCCGGGGAAACTGAGGGGGGGTTGGCACTATAAAGGCTCCAGCAGCATCTTATCCCTCTGAGCAGCTTTTGCTAATGGGGCTTTAATTAGCCCATCTGCAAAGGCAGGTTCAACTGGGCCTGGGGAGGGGCAGGGGAGCCCCCAGCCCAGCCGGGGCCGGAGCAGCTCTGGGATGCTGCAGCACTTGGGGGTCTCGAGCCCCCCAGGAGGGTTTTGCTGCTGGTGAGCACTGGGGAGGTGCTGCCCAAAGGGGGGCAGTGGGGGCTGCACTGGGCGTGTCCCCAGCCCTGTCTGGGGGATGCAGGTGTAGGGGGGTTCCCTGCCTGTCTCCCCCTTCCTCCCAGGGGACCTCACGTACCTGTGGCTTCTTCCTGGGCCGCCCTCGGCCCCTCTTCTCCGACACGTCCTTCTCCCCCTTGGAGGCCAGGGGCTGACTGGATTTGGCGCTGGATTCGCTCATTGTCTGTCCCAGCAGCGGTGAGGAGGAGCAGGAGGGAGGAAGGTCAATCAGCAACAGCTCTGGCTCACCGTGCCAGCCGGCTGTGCTGTCCCCCCAGCCCTTGCACTGGGGCAGGTGAGATGTCACCTGCATCCTCCTGGCACTGCCTGGGCTGCCCCAAGCCCATGGCACGGCCACCCCCTCAACGAGCCAGTACCTGGCCCTGAGGCATCTCCCAGGGCCCCCTCGGGCATGTGGGGAGAGGTAGCTTGGCCAGCCCTTCCCACCCGACCCCTTTCCCCAAAAAGAGGAGAGCGGCTACAGGTTTAATCTGGAATCCTTGAAATCCCAGATGTGCTCCTGCACCAGCAAACTGAGACAGGATGAGTGGTGGCACCAGGGGCCTTGGGCATCCCCAAGGGGTGCCAGGGCCCTGGAGGGGCCTGCAGCCCTGCTCCATCTGGGATTAGGGACAGGCATCGCCTGGCACTTGTCCTGGGGATGCTGGGTTGTGCCCCCCGCACACGCTCCCAAGGGCTGGGCAGCTTTCCTTGCTCTTGGAGAAACCCCACAGAGGAAAAGGCTCTCCACCTCGCTGCTTCCCAGGAGTGCAGGGAAAACCTGCTTTTCCAGAGCCGTGGGGGTGGTTCCACACCCAGCTCCCGGCCTAGGAGCCAGGAGGGATGGGATTGGGGATGGAAGGAGCAGGATCACTGCCACAGCCCCTGCACTCAGCAGTGACCCTGTGCAGGGCACCTGCGCTGCTGCTCAGCCAGGTGACCGTGGCCATGCAGGGACCTCAGCCTGGAGCGGGAATATGAGGATTCCCAGCAGGAACAGGGAAGGGAGAGGCAGGTATGAGATTGTGTGCCCAGTCTATGTCTGCTGACAGAGGCACCCTCCTACCTCTGGGATAATAACGCTCAGTTTTGAGCAACTGGTTCCGATTTGGATGGTGTTGGAGGAGCTGGGACAGAGGGGCTGCAGGGACAGTGGGTGCTGAGCCCCCCAAGAAGCTGATCCTCACTGGGGCAGCTGGGGTGGGTGTGGGCAGGACGTGCAGTGTGAGGAGCCACGCTCAGACCTCTGAGGCTTTTCAAAAAACAGGCGTCAGCTCCTGCTCCCCTCTGGAAGTGACTCATGAGTGCAGAACAACAACAACAAAAACCACCCTCAGAGCCTTTTTTTTTTTTTGGGAGACAGAAACCA